TCGATGAGCTTGAGGTACGGTGTTTTGACGGAGGAGCGGGTGGTGGAGCTGAAGAGCGCCGCCAGTACCAGCTGAGCCGTTAGGGATATCATGATTCGGTTTGTGAAGTCGTCGAGCTGTTGGTGTACAGAGGCGGAAAGGTCTAACGTCGTTTCGTTGCATCGGATTGCATTAACTTTGCAAAATCAGTGGTATCTATTTTACTGATCTGCGTTATGATACCAGGTGACAAATTATAACAGATATTAAATCTTCATGACTGAATTTTCAAATTCTGAATATCAGTAAGTATGTATGTACATGATATAAGCAGGAGTGGCCAAATCATGCAACATTGCAAACCTGGAAGTAGAAAGTGGCGTAGGAAATCACGAACATGAGAAGACTAGGGAAGTAACTGTTCATGATGTGGTATCCGTAAAGGCGTCGCAGATGGTAGGAGAGCACGAAGTAGGTGTTGTTGTCAGCTGCTTGCATGAGCCAGCCCACCTCCGTCGTCTGGTCCTCCAGCACATACTCCAGAAGAGAACGTCGCTTTGGCCGGGGGTGAGGAGAGGTTAGATACATGCTTGATGTTTATTACACATCAGGGAATGCCCTTCCATCCAACCAGTAGAAGACTCCTCGTGAATGAAAGCTCTACATAGCGTCTATTTTATTTGTTAATTTGGCTTTATTAAGTTAAACCTACCATAAACCTAAGTAGTTAATAGACTGAACGTTCAGCATTTCAGAACAGTCTGGGCATCACGTCAGCCATGTATTTTGATTGACATTCCTGTTGATTTGCAATGTCGAACTCTAGGCACAGCTTACTTGGAAATGTATCATGAAGATTTCGTAATTTCTTACATCCTTATTTACTACTTACCAGCAAATAAAGGGAATTGAAGAGGAGAAAGAGACATCTAAACCTAAACTTCTACTGTCTTGTCATTCTTGTATGTATAGTTAAAAGGCAAATAATGATAAATAGGTGATTATTTGAGAGAGAGAGAGAGAGAGAGAGAGAGAGAGAGAGAGAGAGAGAGAGAGAGAGAGAGAGAGAGAGAGAGAGAGAGAGAGAGAGAGAGAGAGTGAGAGAGAGAGAAGGAGGGAGGGGGACAGGGACATAGAACAAGAACGAGAAATTCAATAAACGCAGCTATACTTATTCCATCTTATTTTAGTCCGGGAAGGAATGCATACTCACAGCATTGAGGTAAGGAACGTAGTTACCAGGAAGAGCTTTGTCAAACACCCTGGACCACGGGGAGTTAATCAGAATGAAGGACAGGTTGCACAGCTGACTGTCGAAAGGATATAGCTGCAACTGAAACTGGCAGGGAACTGTAGCCAACACGCCCAGATACACCTCGACTGCAGTATTCATTCCATCTGCTATGTGGCCTACGAGTTTTGTTAATATTAATTTTGGCATCTGGAGTCATTCTATCAAATTTAAGCAGCTTGGAAGTTGTTGTTTTTTTCTTTTTTTGTTTTTAATTTGAGATATTTCTGCAGAAACGTAAGGTCAATTAAAGATATCTAATTACTTCAATGATGCCGGTCAGGCGTACGAATAACAATATCATTACTCACCCATATACGGATCAGCAAGGGGCCGTTTCTCTGTAGCATCGTTATTATAGGCATAACAAAACTTTTCGTAATCATTTGTGTCTAGAACAGTGCCATCGCCGTGGCCCGTTACTGCCTGTACAGCCGGCGTCCAAACCAACTCACACGGAAAATAGTTCTTTATGTCGGGCTTAAGATTGCGAAATTTCAGTCTCGGGTCGTACCAAGTCAGGGTGATTCCTACGTCCATTGAAGCCGTCGCATTGATGGCCGTGATGTCACTCAGGTGATAGACATCAATATGATAAGCTATGGGTACAGTGCCGTTCTCCCAAGGTCGGAGAGGCGGAGGAGTAGAGACGTCGTAGCGAGATGGCTTTTCCACAACTTTGCAATTTACTTCGTCAGACATATCTCGACAATGCAAAATATCGTCACAGCGTAAGATCTGGGAGATACACTGGCCATCGTCGCAGGTGAACTGGGTGGTGAGGCATTTGGTCAGCGTGAGCACGACCTCCTGGCTCCCCGCCATCCACCGCCGTCGACCGATCGGGACCGCTGCGCCCTCCAGCCTCCACTCAACACGATGCAGGTTCGAACTCAGCACCCATATGGAATCCTCAAGCTTGATTCGAGAGCTTCCTTTACTTTGGAATATGGGAACCGATAAATTAGAATCTATGTAATATGTGTACTCGAAAAAACGCCCGGTGTGCCCGTACAAAGTGTACATGGATGTGGGCGACAACTTGCACATGGAGCAACCCAGACGCCGGACACAAGCAACCATTTTTTCTCCGTTCGAATCCCAGGCGGGGCACTCGTCTCCGGGCGTGATCGCCACTATCGTCCCGTTCTTTACATCGAGCCAAGTCAAAGGCTCACCTGAGTCCGCATAGATGTTGTTGAACTGAAGTGAAGTTGTGTTTATTGCCGTTAAATCGTCTGTTGATACCAGTGTCCCCGCCAAAGAGTGACAAAGCGACTGGGAATGGCTATATGTCCCGGCTGGTTGTAGGAGGACATAACGAGGGTATGATGAACACACTTCCTGCAGTGAGTGGAGTTGAAAAGAAGCATCGCCTACCACAGCCCAGTCCTTATTCATCGCCAAGTCCGGAAACCCCTGCGATCGCCCTGCACACTCGACCGCCTTCCCAATATCTGGGATAATTCCGCTCCACCAGCGAAGCCGACTCACCGTAGCTCTTAACTTACCGCGTCCAAACCCGCCCAGACACAGCTTTCCTGCCGGCGCCTCAGATTTCTCCTGGGTGTTCTGACAACTATCAACCTCCAGTGTGTTATTCGGTGCACAGCTGTTAGGATGGGGTGCAGTCTTGTCATCCTGCGCTGTGGATCTTTCGTCAGGTGGGTTGTACCCCTCGCCTACACCAGGTACTCGCCTGCTCGACAGTAGCCTTTCTTCGTCGTCCGCTAAGCAGCGACTCTTAAAAGAATAAGAAAAACAGCTTTCATAACAACAGTAAAAATATATAATGACTTATGGTCTGGAAACCTTACTTTTATTCAACGGTTTGAAGGTCATAACCAAGTTAGTTTGTTCGTCCTTTTTTCAAATTTATATCCTTTGATAGATTTACACAGTGAATAATATAAGTACGTTGCCCACCCTTAAAGAATGAATCATCCATCAAGACATTTACCTTCCTCGAGACACCGTCGTACTGCAAACACAGGTGGCGCCACTGTTCAGGAGGGAACTTCACTTCGAAGAAATACTCGCTCGTATCGCCTCCCATCGAATTCTTCACCCGGAGGAGCACGCCCATTTGTATGACGTCTGGAGGTAATTACATCAGTGGCTTTTAACTTAATTCAGTGATGTGCATAATTAAACCACAAGCTTAAGCGTAAAGGGTTTTTGAAAAGCTGGTTAAATGTTGAGAAATAATATTTAGAATTCTCTGTCAAAAGTAATAAATAGTTATGAAATTCATATTTACCGACAAAAACTCTCCGGTGTTTCTCAGTGATAGTTAAGAGGGTAGAGTAAGTATAACTTCTGTCAACTTTGATGAAGGCACAGACAGTAAAAGAACTATTCGAAATAACGGAAGAATTTAACAGCTTGTCAGCCTCAATCACTGCATCGGGAGTACCGGTTTTTCTCGCTTCATTCTGTCCTGGACCAGGCAAGATAGGCAGGCTTCCCCTGGCGGTTCCACAAACACTGGATTGTCCTGGTCCCATTCGGACACTGACTAGCATCTGCGGGTCTGATGATTAGAGATAATTGAGTTCAAAATGATAGTATTAAAAATGTGTGTATAGCTAATGATTATATAGTGTAAACAGAAGGTTGTTGACACTGACTTTGAACTGTTTAGCCAGTCATAGATTCTCATTTCCATTTCATATTACCCGAAAGAGACGAGGAAGGCAGATCTAGAGGCTCGACAGTAGTTGCGAAGAGGGACGCGGTTGATAATACCCATCGTATAAACGACACCGACATAACGAAGGCACTTCTGAAAAACCTGTTGATGACGTACTGAACCTCTCAACAGAAATGCGGTATGGAACTGTGCTACTCAGTCTTCCCTAAGAAATGTGAAGTTATATATAGAGCAATATGAAAACATACAGCAACGTAAGCAATTACGCGACAGATGCAGCAGGGTGGCAGCAAGAACCTAAACTGAGCGAGAAAACAGCATGAATGCGCTCACCTGGCCGTTCCACCTTAATTTATAGACTCAGGTCGCAGCATTGATCTTAGGCGTCGATCTGACATTTGATCTGGAGATAATTCTCGCCCTTTGTCCTTCCAGGATATTCTTGCTCACTCGAAATCCTGAACATGACTTCTTCTTTGACCATTCTCCACAATGAGTATCGGACTCAATGTATATTACTTGATATATGTGCTTTTTATATAACTCAGCTTCCTCGAGTTAAAGCGTCGCATTAAACTTTGATATATATATATATATATATATATATATATATATATATATATATATATATATATATGTGTGTGTGTGTGTGTGTGTGTGTGTGTGTGTGTGTGTGTGTGTGTGTGTGTTTGTGTGTGTGTGTGTGTGTGTGTGTGTGTGTGTGTGTGTGTGTGTGTGTGTGTGTGTGTGTGTGTGTGTGTGTGTGTGTGTGAGTGTGTGTGTGTGTGTGTGTGTGTGTGTGTGTGATAAAATGTATTTAATTAGTGTTTCATGGTTGTCCGAGGTTCGACAATAAAGACTTGAAACAGTTAGCAATATTCGGAATGAGAGAAACCAGGTCAATGATTAATAGCTTCGGTTTTTTCTTATGCTCGCAATATCCCCAGTACATTAGGATTACTGCCCTCATTTTTAAAGACTGCGGTACCCTCATGCTGTTGTAAAATATTTATATAAAAAAGCCAGATCGAAGAGATTATTGATAAAAAACTTCGCTGACATTTTCGAAGGACAATAATGCCGATAAAAAATATGATATTTTTGTATTGAACTTCAAATTGATATGGAATATACCTTGCCAGCAATAACAGTGTCGATCGTCTCTGCAACATAGATAGCAATATCTATTCGAGCAAGAACCTCTTTTAACAATTTTGTTTCGGGGAAGGAAATATTCCCGGGATGGTGGTATGAGGACCATCTACAAATGCCCATATTGGATGATCATCTAGGTAGATATATAGATAAAAAAGAACAATAACACTATGAGTTGATGCGGAATCAGCCAGTCTATCAAATGAGAATAATACCGAGGATGGCATATTGTTATATTCACCCTGTGATTCCAACTACAAGGGTCCCTCTTAGGTTCCCAGGTGGAGGTTCAACCTGTTTCAACTTCCCTTACAATAGATTTGGTTGTTATGCTTAAGCCCCTAATTTCAGGTCCCATATATCAGTGGATCGTAATTGATATTTTCATATCAATATTCTGAACTCAAATGGTTACTCTTGTAAAAATATTACTTTTGATTACAATTATTATATTAACCTTTTGACCTTGTAGTTTTGGTGTCCAAGCGAGATACAGATTTCATTTCATTTTCTCCATTTAACTGTTATCTTCAATATATGAAGCAATATGAAGAATTGGATTGCACAGGATTTCATCATTGTCTGTCAAATTTATCAATCAATCAGAAAAAAAACATTCACCCAAGTATCACTGCGAAAAGATTATGAAAGGTTATGAAAAAAAAAAATTTGGTATTTTTTGTGCATACTGTACAGTCAGTTCCCCAAGAGCCAGTTTCACTCTGAAAGACGTGCTTTTTTCAATTTTTAGGGCTTGCCAAGGGTGTTAAAAGAGGCAAGGATGTGCTTCAAGTATGTGTGTCTGCAATTCAAGAAAGCACTAGTTTGTCAACCTAAAGTGTAATCACAAAGCATTTTAACAAAATGTAACAGTTTGTTGTGGCAATAACAGGTGAAGAAACATGCATGGTTAGGCAAGAGGCAGATGTCAGCATTATGTTACCAGGTCATATTCAAATAAGAAAAGGGCAATATGAAATAAGCAACTTCTCTGTGATGATATAAATTTCTTTCTTTCAAATGTTTTACCATTTTCCTGTTTTTAAGTTACTTCTATTGACACCAAATACCAAATATGCAGATCACCATGAACATTTACTAGCAGTATTGTAGATATCAGTATTACACTAAGTTCTTATCAAAATGTAAGCACCAGTTGAAGCTCTAAGCCAGTGGTTATGAACTGTTTTATACTTGCATTCCCTGTTTTCAAAACACTATGTTTGCGACTCCTCCTACATTAGCCTATACAAGTTTCCTACATTTTATTCCACTATTGGGATTGTGACTGAACTTGTAGGGAATCCCTGCCCTAGGCAGTTACTGCTATACTGAAAATACATCAGCAAGAGATTTATGAAATGAAACACAAGGATCTTGACTTGTATGTTGTGAGCCTGAATAACCAACCTGTTTCAACTTCCCTTACACTATGGATTTTTTCCCTCATTTCTACTCGACTCAGCAATACCAGTTTCCATGAAAGAACTTAAAAGTATTTGTAAGTAGTTAATGAATCGTTGTCAAGACTCTTCTACCAACTGATGAAGTTCTCGGTCCACCATATAGGCCCATTCAGATTTGGAAGGCATCACTAAGAGAATGGTTCACAAAATCAAAGAATGGGGTTGTGAAGCTATGGATGGGGATGATGTCCACTGAGAGGCATCAATCAAGCAACACCATCAAACATGAATACTGTAATTTGTGCATGTGGAAGGGACCAGGATGCTCTAGAAATAGCAGTAAGATTGCTTGCTAGTAAAATTATACATTTTGTGACTGGAACAAAGAAAATAATGTTGCAATGGATGTAACATTGCTAACAATTAAAAGATGAATCTGATATTGGTATCTTACAAGTCAAACAATCATTATAGGTATATATATGGATAATTCTTTGAAACCTTGATTCTTTTCACCCAGTCAATATAGTGTATGAGTTTATCATATGAGGTGCTTTGCCGTTATATTAATTCAAAGGCACCAGTTTATTTGCTGTCGAGTTTCCAGTCCAGATTACCATTTGAAATCATGTAATCACAATATGTATAGCCCCTCAAAAAATTACTTCATTTTTTGGAGAAGTAGGAGTCAGGGTTTACCCTCTCCAGGACTTGCCTAATGTGTGATGTGTATAAAGGCTATACTGAACAGTTTGTACTTATTCATTATATTAAATAAAATGGTCTGATAAATAATATTCAAATAAGGTTGAAAAGAGAAAGGGTGTCACCTTTAAATTTATTTTCCAAAACATAGCACTGAACCTCATACTAGTTTTAATGTAACACTTTGCTGACAATGTCACATCAGATACAATCTTCTTGCCAGCCAACAAATGCAAAGCATTTTCAGCAGTTCTTTCTCAATCAAGCTTACTGAGTTGCAACCAGCATTGTAAGTTTCTCGTTGAGGCTCACATTCACCTTGGTAAGCTGAGAGAGATACATCACCATCAACAGATCCTGGAAAGAAATTAATACAATTTGAAGATATTTTTCATCACTGCACTGATAATAATCAAATGAACATTTAATCTATTGTTTCAAATTATCAAAAATCTAAATGAAAGTTTTCTTACAAAAATGAAAATTAGGATACATATTCCTGTAATACCTTCAACAGTAACATATCAATAATTACATTGCCAATAAAAGCAAACAACTCAAATTAACATCAACAAGGATAAGATTTTTATAGACTGTAGTGGAATACAAAGGTTTCTGTAGTCCTAGGACTTAGCAAAAAGTTACAAACAGATGAAGCATGGAAAGCAAATAAAAAAATGGTTGCAGGTTTTACAAATTTACATACCTTCATGTTTGTGTTCAACATCTCCTCAAAATCATGTGCAGACATCTTAGGAACCCTGTTTACGATCTTTGTCAGCTCACGGCCTATGTAATTGTCAGCCAGGACTTTCCCACTTAGGACATCATCTACGTAAGCTGTTTACAGAGTAAGAACAGAATTTAAAAATTGGCATTTCCAGTTTTTGAAAAATCGAATACAGAAAAATGAAATAAAAGATGCAGACGACTGTACATGTTAAGAAACTTTTGCAATATTTACAACCAACCATTTAATAACAATCAAATATGAGACAGAAGTTAACTTTTGAAAACTACTTACCAATAAGAATATCCAAAGCAGATTCCATGTTAGTTGTTGCTTCTGATATCTGATGAAGATCTGAGGTTGGGTCTACTATTCTAGGTCTGCTGTACTTGCTCTTCTGAGCAACATTAGCTGCAAGGTAAGACAGGAGGTATATTACAGCCAGAGTTCATGGTTCTATCAACATGTCTTAGTAGTTAATGAAAATACAACTAACAATTGGTTGAAAATGTAAAAAATCATAAATGATGTGTCATAAATTTTTACCTCTCTAAAGAGTGAAAATATCCATCATATATTCATAATACTGATCTTACATTAACTTTGCAGACAATGCCTTTTTACACTGCCAATTTCAAAATTTATTTTGTTGAAGGCATGTCTAGCAATACACTAATATTACAAACCACATTAAAAAAGAGATATGTTGCATATCTTAGGAAACTCTATATGTCAAAGTAACAACTAATAATTCTGTCTTATAAAACAATTCATTCTCAATCACATAATAATAAAAAATAAATGCTTTACAGAACATACATCTTCCAGAGAAAAACAGGTACTTACTTCCAACAATCTCAGGAGAATAGGAGACAATCGAAACAGGAATTGGGGCAAACATTGTGCCTGGAGTACGTCCTGGAACACCCATGCTAGCACTTACATAAGCCTAGAGGAAAGATTTTTTTTTAACATAATGAAATATTTCATGATAAAATAAATTAATAAGAAATGAGATTTACAAAGAAGACAAAATATATATACACACATGGGGGTTTGTAAGGAATAGGGCTTCATATAGAGAGGAGAAAAGATAAAGAATTAGGAAATATTAACCACTTAATCCTGAATCTAAACATAAATAACTATAAGAAAAATATACATATACATTCCATATAGCATTTCAA